AAAATCTTCCTCAGCTCCCCCTTTAATTCCTGTGAACCCAAGCAATGCTGTGATTTCCTTGAAGCCTTCAAGCTTGTGGTATATACAAATAAAGCATTCTTGTTCTGTTTGAGATATTCAGCTACTTGGGCCCGTAAAAAGCTATCTTGACTTCCTAATCTTCCTCTCGCTTGTTATCCTTGATAATGGCAGCACCGTTACCATTCACTTGGGCATTACAGCATATTTTCTAACAAAAAAGAAAGAAGTAGGACTACAGTGGGAAAGCAACAGCATCTGGAAAAATCGAACAATGTGAATTAACACATTCTTTGTGGGCTAGAGGAAGCAATGGAGTCAAGGAAGGCCTTTGGATGTTATGTTTTACAATACCTCTGGAGGCCCAAGCACCACTGTAGGCTGTTTTCTTCCTGCCTTTAGACAAGCTGAAATTAACTGGTAATAACACACAATTAAAAGCGCATGTGTGTGTCTGTGAGGGGGTGTGTGTCTTTGCTCTAATTCCACACCTTCTGTGCATTTTAACTTTCAAACTCCGACAGCAGTGAAGAGGAGACAGACAGGTATACATAGCAGCCACATCAAAATCTTGGTGGGGCAGCTGGAACATTTGACACCTCCTTGTTTCAATGCCCCCTGTCTGTTTTTAATTTCACTAAATCGCTCCCGTCTGGGGATTGTATATTTTCAGTGGCCTCTCCCAGCAATGCAGAGGTAGAGCATTAGTGTGCCAAACCCCAGCTATGCTCAAGCATGTGGCTGCAGCTTTACAGGAGGCAAGAGGAGAGTCAGCTCTCGGGACCAGCCATTTGCCAGACTTAACTGAGACCTAAAAGTGATGCCAAGAAATCTCACTTGCCCTTTTCCTACAAGGGAAGAGATGGACAATGTGAGTAGCAAACTGGATTCTTACATCACCGCTTTGAAATTACCATCAAGGTTTGTTCATCTGAAAGGTCCTTCATTAGTGAGGGGATACTGTACAGCAGCTGCTTCTCAGAACACGGACTTTGTTGCTCAAGAAGGATGTTTGCTTGGTTTTAAGACGCAAGCAGGACCTAGTCCTGAGTAACTCCAGGCAAAGGGATGGCTTTGAAGGGCAATTCAAGGAGGATTTCACTCCACAGCTGTAGGCACAGTGGAGCCTGCGTTCCCGTCCCTTGCCACTGAGACCAGCGGAGGTTTCGCTCCTGATTTTGTTGAGGGAAAAGCTCAAGCCCAACGCAGAAAGCTTGCATAATCTTGGGAGGAGTCACCTCATAGCAATGAAAGTGAGCAACAAGACAACATTAAATAGGGAAAAAAATGAAGAGCTCCTCAGTCAGCTGCTCAGAGGCTGAACGTCACTGTCACAGGGCATAACCCTGCATCCCCCCTCCTGTGAGCATCTCACAGAGCAATCCCCTCATGAGCATGGAATAATGAATAGCAATTTCAAATACTTATGCCTGAACAGAAACCCTTCTTCACATATGGAGATGTGTCAGGATGTAAAGCAAAGTAATTCCTCCCAGTATTAATTTGCACAGCTCCTGCACACTCATCTGCTCGTGCTGGATAGGGGCATGGGACAAGGTCAGCATGAAGCACTGAGCAGACTCCAGGCATGTGTGGCTTCTGGGGGGATTGCAGAGCTCTGTCTCTAGGATCCAGGGGGCTAAAACAGCCCTCAGGATAAAGCCAACCAAGACACATCATGAATTACTTTGGCCCACTTTTGTGAGTAGTGGGATTTGGCCTCAATACAGCAAGGAAACCAAGGTGGTAATAGAGTGCTATTTGTGCCATTGCGTGGCCCTGAGGATGCAATAAATGACTTGCACAATAGGCTAGTGGGAGCATGAAAAGATACCTGAGCCTATTCCACCAAAGCTTCATTGCATGAAAACACACTTTTCTGAGATCTGAAGGATTTTTTTTTCCTCTCTTGCCCTCACTGAGTTCTCTGTGAATTGAGCATTACAGTGGCTTTGACTGTAACCATCATAATCGTTTTCCAGTGCTAATGTTGTGGTTTTAATGAAAGGAAACAGCAAATGGTGTATCGACTCATATACACAAATCTGCACTTCATTTGCACAAAATAGCTTCTGGATGGCTTTCCTCCATGGTTTTGGTCAACACCACTCTCTTTGAGAAATGATCAATGTCTACAATTGTTTGCTCTTCCACAGATAAAGCAGATGCTATTCATTACTGCCTTTGCCATGCATATATTGCTACTTTCCTCAAAGCAGCTGCAGTGGGTCATGTGTTTATTTTTCTTTAAATCCTTTTGTTCTTAAATCACTCCACTTTTGCTTTCAGGGTATGATGAATGATTAATGCTGTAGTAGCAGCATTATTGAATTAGGAAAGTCACTGGCAGCTTCCAAAATCATTGAGACAACCAACAAATAAATACAAACCACTTCTTCAGAGTTAGATACAGCGGAGTAGTGTGATGGTGTCAAGATAAGGAGAGGTGATGCTGATATGAGCACTTTTAAAGCTATAAGACAAACTTGCAGTTGCTGACATGTAAATCATAGCAGCTCTGGTAACAATGCAGATGTTTTGAACAATCTTGCACTGAAGTAGTATAACTGCAATAAGAACAATGTTAAGGCAAACTCAGAACTGGTGTGGGCATTTGGAGGGAATTCTTTTCTCCAAGAAGTTACGTGATCATAAAGGCAAGAATTGTTTGTGGTTTTAAAGTCTGGGTTTATTTAAAGAATAGAGATTTGGAGTCAGATGCTGAAAGGTAGGTGTTCGGCACCTCCCAGGGATTATAGCCAACAGCATGAGCAACAGCTCACCAGGAAGGGAGTAGATTTCTGGCGTAACCCTTTGCAGTCACCACTGGCGTATCTGGTTTACAAGCAGAGCTAGCCTACTGCTCGTGGTGATACTAGAGAGTGTAAGATGGTAAAACTCCAGTTAAATGAGAGTTTGCATGAAATAGGAAAGCAAGATTAAATTCATTTTCCTATATTCATGCACAGCAGGTTTTCTAATGGCTTCTTAACAAAGTCCATCAGGTTTCCATGTGACTTTGCCCCTTGTGTGTTTCATCACAGCACCTTGGTGGCCAGCAGAGAAAGGGGGGTCAGAAAACTGCTTGCACCACTGAGCCTTTAAAACTCTTTTATGCAGAAGTGAAGTGCTGAAAAGGCTATAGGATGGTGAGGAGTAAGCCCTAGCATCTCCAGGTCGCTGGGTTTGCAATCTGAAGGAAGGAACCTCTGTGGGTATGGCAGTGCATGTTGTTTGACAGCAGTACTAATCATGGCTTTCCTCACCTGGGGCTGCTCCAAGCACACTGCAGAACTAATTCAGTTATCCCTGTGGCTCTGCTTGGGATTTCTATAGATATCAAGAGACTCATATTAGTTCTTTCAGTGTACTCCTGAAAATAAAGGGCCCCTTTATGGAGTGCTATAGTGCTATGTATTTTCCTGGCCTTAAAATCTTTTTTCATTTTTCAATTACATGTTCCTTCTTAGAGCTGGGTAGGAAAATGGTTTCCATGCAGAGTGAAAGATCTCACAGTTTCAAGAAGGTCCCTGCTGCTGTTGTACTTCAAGATGCTACCAAGGCCTTTCAAATAGGGCATGCTCAGAGCAGTCAACAGCCAGGGATTAGTACCCTCACTTGAGCTGTTGAAGAACTGGGTAAAAACCATTCCTGTATAGAAATAACATCTGCCCTAGTCCAGGATCAGCTCAATAGTCTGGAGCAGGGTGGGGTGGTTTTGCTCCTTTCCCTGGCTGAAACTGTTTCACTTTGCACAAGCAATGACACATCAACCTGGGAAGAGACCTGGACTTCCATCTGCTCCTCCCAGCACAGTGATGTAATTCATGGACTACCAGCTCGGCTCTTTCACCCTCTTGCCTAATGATTGTCTCGGCATCTGTTTAAACTGGAACATCTCCAACAGCAGAAGTTCTTATTTTGAAGCATCCAAGAGCCTGGAACCTGCCCATGCTGTGTGGTGCTTTCATGCCCCTGGGTCAACCTAAAGAGATTATAGGCCTACATGTTGTCAGCTATTTTAGATCATTGAAAGTTCCGGGTTTGACAAATCAGCATTTTCTGATTTGAGGACATTCCTTCTGAAAGCTCCCAGCCATCTGTACTCTGTCACATTTACCTATAGATCTTCAGTAGGTTCCTCCACTTGCAAGACTCCATTTTTCTAAGGAGTTTTGGTTGATTCAAGGGAAAATATTGGAGACTACTTCATCAGCCTTTCCACAGATAGGCTCTGCCTCTATTATTGCCATGCTTACAGTCTACTTGTAGTTATGCCCACCTGCATGCAATCATAGAAGTTCTCTCTCTTCAACCCCCACCACCAGCAAGAAACAAACTGCTGAAAGCCTTGGCAGGTGTTGTGCATTTATTACATTTCACCAGCTGATCAGGGAGGGGTACCTGAGATTTTATGGAATATGGGGAGAAATTTGAAGTCCCTTCCGTGATGAAGTGAATCTTAGATGTGGGCAGAGGGTGGGACTATCTTAAGCAGAGGAGAAGAATGGCCCTGCCCCCTTGAAAACCTCAATACCCATAAAAGAATCAATCAAAATCTTGCTCCATGATGGACCCACCTACTTTTTCTTTATTTCCTCCCCTCACATAATCCTTCAGGGGGATTAGAACTAAATGATCTTTAAGGTCCTTTCCAACCCATACCACTGTTATTCTATGCAACAAAGCTGGTACTTGGAAATCTCTGCTCTTCTTCTGCTTGCATCAGATGAGGGAGCAGAGGCTGCTAGAGCTGGAAGAGTTCAACCACTTTTTTCCCCTCCCTGTTCAGGCTCACTGCTGTTCTGATGCTCCAGCTAAAGAAAATCTTCACAGGTGTTTTTTTTTTTGTCCTGGGAATGAAGCTTCCCACTGCTAGCCTTGGGGGACACAGAACATCCAGGCTGGGCAAGAGCTCTTTGTGGGTTATTTCTAGTGCTCAAAGGGAGAAGGGGGGAAAAAAAGCAATGAACTACAGCAAGTTTACAGCAATTGCTTTAATGAGGCAAAGCCTTTTAGAATGCAAACATGCTCAACAATACACAAAGAAACAATCAAAAAAAAAGTGTTTTATACAGGCTGTTTTATAAGAAGGTAATAAAAACAATTGTATGGCACACTCAGTTGCATAAACAGGCTCACCATGGAAGGTGATTGTGTGAGAGCAGGACTGTGAATACTTAATTGCTTCCATTATTCTTATTTTCAGTACAGAATACTGCAATCAAAACTTAATCTGTGGCTTGATTTTTAAATAAAAATGTTATATTCCAGTTCCATTGTTGTAAATATAATAAAACAGTCTTTCTGTTCAGTCTTTCATTTCTTACTGCTTGCAAGGAGGTATAACAGTGATTAATATCTACATCCCAGGCAATTTCAAAACCTTTTTCAAAGGTAGGATCATTATTTCTCTTCAGAAAGGCAGAAGACCAAAATGTTCTAAAGGTCTTCATTAATGATTTGACTAGAAGTCGTGGAAGTCTCTCCTGAGATCTTTCTTTAGCTGCCTACCCTCGCTGAACCAACCCCCAAAAGCAATGCAGAATTCAGATCTATTTTCATTCACGCAACTCTTCTGACAAACACAGTGAGTACAAAGGGAGAATGCAAAGAAATACTAACTTGGGGACCTCACTAAGTTGCAATGTACAAAACTGAAAAAATGCCACCCATTTTCCTATACCTCTCAGGATGGTAAATTAGTCAGACAGAAGGCTCATATGAATCTGAATACAGTCCGGTGTGTCTGGAATGGTGTATTATACATCTAGTGATTTATTTGTTATTTTTTAATAGATACTGTTACATTTGTGCTTTAGTGGCATTGCTCTAGACCAGAGCTATTTTCATTTAGACATAAGAACACTTTTGTTTATCCTCTGACTTTTTGCATTAGGAAGAGATACAGAACTGTCAAAGGCCTGTTATGAACATAAACTGAATGATAGGTCTGAAAAGATTCAGGAAACAAGGTTGTCTTATACAAGAAAATGAATATCAGGATTAAAAATTTTATACTCATAAATAGTTTGTACTTTACAGGCTGAGCACATTGCTGTAAAATAGCATAACAGAGTCATGCCAGAGAGACCAGAGCTGCTCTCACTGAAAATTAGTGTCTCTGGGAAAGCAGTGATGATTTCTGGTTTCAAATTAATGGCAAAGAGTGACTTTAAATTGATATTTGTTGCTCATACACATCTTAATTTGCATATTAAATTTAAAGACTCTTCTGCTACAATAGGGAGTAGGAAGTAGCACTTTTTCAGTTCACTAGGCTTATAATAATTTCTACCCTCGAAATCATATGATTCTTGGACTTCCTGTTAGTTCTACAGAGCAGCTGTCACATAGGAAATGCAATTTTTATTTTCACCTTTCTCAACATTACAGGTAGCATAATGCTGTCGGGAATCAAGCATGTTTCCTGCTCACAATTTCATTATTACATTTTAATACATTACATCACTTATGCCCAAAACCAATTCACATGAAGCAAAAAAAAAAAAACCCTGGTAAGGCAGCATTTCTCATTCCCCCTGTACCATGGAAAATAGTTATTTTTAACATCTTCCATCTCACAATAGCAGAACTACTGCCCAGGAGAACAAAGGACATGTAACTAAGGCGATGAGTATTTTAAACTGCCTATGACCTGCACAGAGCATAGACCTTCCTGTAGCCAAACTCCGATCAGCTCACAAGCTTTATGCAAGATTAGCCTTTCCAGGCACTTATTTGCAAGGTGTCCAGGGAGCCAACAATACCCAAACAGCAATTGCTGACCTTTCAGCAAAGTGTCTTACCCTCTTATTGGAAATCAAACCCCAATTGTTTGCTGGCATCTATCAGTCTTCAACAATTAGAGGCAAGAGGCCACGCTGAGGAGGAACATGTATATATATATATGTGTATGTATATGTAAGAAGGACTTTTACATATTTATTAGGAAGAATTAACGTACAAGATATAACCAAGTAATATATATAAGGAAAACACACACACACAGAGACATATATGTGCTAGGCTGGATGCCTACATATATTTTAAGAATATATATATATATATATATATGTTTGTATGGATGCACATCTGCTGGCCAAAACAGCTTTGATGATTTAAAGCAAACACCTTGATATACTGAATAGCTGCTTTTAAGCCAGACAAAGATTACATGTGTACCATGGTGCTGTTGTTCTCATTTCTCCTACCAAACAATGATAACATTGAAGACCAAAATTTTGCTTGGGAGGTAAATGGGTATCTGAATTTTGTTTGCATATTATGAAGAAAGATCTAGCACATTAATCTGAAATGTTCAGAAGGAATCCAAACCATGCTTTCCTCTTAGTGTCAAATTCTTCAAGGATCAGAAAGCAAGTCTGCAATCAAAAATCCAAACACATCAAGACGATCTATAATATGCTACAGAAGTGGAATTGAAAAGACAAGTCATTCAGTCTGATGAGGTAGATGGGTGTCTGGAAGCATGCTGAATGTCACCTGCTAACAACAGCCATCAAGATCAAGGAGTCTAGTGGGGCAGACTGAATTGATTCCAAAGTTACTCATGAGCTAACTTCTGCTTACAAGGATGTGTGAAGAACAGCAAGGAACTAGTAGTGAGCAACTTTCAATAAAGAGGTGTGATATTAGCCAGTGCCCAAAACTATCAGAGAGGTTTGATAAGATGCCACCATATGATTGTCTGACTGATCCTAAATGCATTGGCTCTAAGATCCTAAAGTAGAGAGCTTTACTGATGTATGTTTGTTGTCACAGATGAGTTGCCAGCTTCTCCTCCCCAGTCCCTCACCAGAGGTCCCCTGTTACAGAAATCAGGCTGCAGTGAAGGTAGTCCTAGATAAAACATACACTGCTCCATTGACCCTCTTCTCTTTTGGTTTCTCCTTCTCTAAGAAACAGCTCTGTATTTGGAGCTCAGTTGAGTTCATCCACTGGCCTGTCCACATCTGCAGGATATCCACCTAAGTCACTTAACAGTAGTCCATTGTTAGCTTGGAGAGGCTTCCATCTTTCCAGGCCAGCCAACACCCTAACAGCAACGCTCACCAGTGTCAGGTCACTCTGCCACTGCACCATGTCCACATGTGGTGGTGGCATACCACTGAAAAAAATGCAAGTGATTGACGCATGCAAGCATACAGATCAGGGCACTGATCGCAGCCTACAGTGATGCTGCGCTTTTATTATGGGCCTCAAAACAGCAATAATAAAAAATAAAGATGATAATGCACTGAGTTTGGGCTTGTTCTGCATTACTGGCTATGTGTGTTAGACAGTAGGTGAAATATCGCTTGCTGGATGTGAACCGGCAGTCAAACAGGATGCCTGATTTGGCCTGTGTAATGTGACATGTTAGTGGTAACATCTCGATCACATGTAATATCTCTCTGAATATACCTGAATATATCTGAATATCTTTCTGAATACACTCTGAAATACCTACTGAAAAAGTCTGCACGCTGATTGAACCTGTAACAAGGGCTTTACAAAGCATTGTGACCCAAGTCTTTGGAAGGTGTAAATGGCCACAGCAGCTACAGTCAACCCCAATTTTCAACAGCTCTTCCTCTTTACCTATATTTTTATCACACTCGCATTGGTGAAGTTGCTTACTGAAGAAAAAAGTCTCCTTCCTTAGAAGAAATGTTGCCCAAGAGCAGTTTACATCATATGCTATCTGGAAGCTATTCTGTGAAACATCGTAATAATTGCTTTTCCTGGACTCAGACACTTATTAGTAGCAGCTAAAGTTAACAGATTGGAAGACTGCCTGAAGATGATGGATGAGTTTTCTCAGATTGTAGATTTCTGGTCATTTTCCATGGCAGCTGTAAATTTAAAAATAATATAAAGTTAAGCAGTGGTAGAATAGAATTCACAAATATTACACAGCTACTGACTTGGTCGTTAATCATCCTAAATTAATGTTAAAGTGTTACATATGATGAGCCAGGTTTTGCCCTGGGGTGTATACAGAAGCTTCTCACTGATTACAAATGCTAAATGGCACATGTATGTGAACACTGAATTTAGCCAACTACTTGTTTGCACTGCTGGACTTTTTTAGTACTATTTGAGGGAGGTGAAGTGTTTCTGGTGTAGGAATCCCCTTTCATACTAATGATCTAGAAGACAATTATCAAGAGCCACTGTGTGATTCATAGTCAATATCCCAAGTTAGTGCAACAATCTGTCTACTTATTTTCAGAGCTAAAGAGCACCAATGCCCCCCAAAGTTCAGGAGTCATTTGATCTGCCTGATGTCCGTTTTTGAGGTTGCTGCAGTCAGAAAAGAATTTCTTATTGGGCAGAATTAAGATGCTTGTCCACAACAGAAATTCCTTCTACGCTAAAGCACCATTTTTCCTAGACTTTGTCCTAATGCGCCTCGTTATTTTGGATGAACTCATGTATTTCAGTGTCTCCTTCAGACGGGTGACTAGAGAAGAGCTGCTAAAGATATGCATGTTAAAAAATAAATTAAAAAGTCCTCCTCTCCTTGTCCAGCAAATCCAACCTGATGCAAATAAATAAGTCTTGCTCTTGGAGACGCCATAAGGATTCCTCACCTTCTCCGCAAAATGTGGAGGTCAGAAAACCTGCGACAGTTTCAGGAGGGTCATGGAGATACACGGACCTTTACCTTGTCTATGTCTAACTCTTCTCAGCTCCTTTTGCATTTACCTAACACTGATATACTAATTACATATTAGTTACACTGCATTTAGGCATATTTATGTTATACCTGCTGTTATTGTTAATATTTATTAGCTACAGGACTGAGTTTTTTGCATTACTTAGTCTCCTATTTAATGTCTTTCAGACTGTAGGTACAAATGCTCTACAGCAGTTGCACTAAAAACAATGTCTTTGAATGCCAACTATGGAATATTATTATCAGCGGGTTTTCTCAGGGCCGATTTACTTCTGTTTATCCACAGGGTTTGGTAATAAATACATGTATTTGGGGGATCTAGGTACATTAAACATACTGAATAGCCAAAACTTGTAGAAGCTAATTTCCTTGTCATTGCATTATAGTTACATTGGTTACGCACGTCTTATTCAATTATGTAACTTGAAGAATACCAACGACATAGGTTCCTGATTTCAATAGTACATATGCCGGTTTTAGCACTTACAATGGATCCCTTTTAGGATGAGAAACTAAACTCGTCATGTTTTGAAATTTGGAACCACAAAATCAAACGTAATATTGTCTTTGTGTATGTCATTAATGGCTTTTCTTTTTATACTTTCTGGATGTATACTATAATATTTTGTTCAAATCAAAGTGAAGACTGGAAGGTAACTTGCAATTAATGTATGCGGTTAAGCTTTTACACCGCCAGATACTCTATTGATATCAGCTTAGTCAAGTAGGTATTCAACCAGTTGCAAAATGTGCACAACAGCCAAATAAACTATTTGCTGTTAAATCGTGATGTAGGGGAAGTGCCAGATATACTATGAAGTCCTTTCAATGTGAATTCTTTAACAGTATTTATTTCTGTGTGGAAGGCACTCAGCTACTGCAATAGTACAGAAGAGAAGGAACTAGGAGGAAGGTAGGGTTAAATTAATATCCACAGAAATTGACATACTATTATGATTTTAGCAGCAAAACACGTATCAAACAGGTTAAAAACTGGCTGACTGATCTCAAAAAACTAGGCATCAGTGGGGATTTACAACTGAATGAATGTTCTTGATGTTCCCTTGAGTTCTATATAAGGCTCAATATTCTTTAGCAATTTCACCAATGGTCATGTAAACATATCCCTAAGTACAATCTGTGGATGACTTGAGTTTGGCAGAGTGATATACAAAGCCGAAGGCTAGGCAGTCAATCAGAAATTGGGAATGGTACAGGAAAGAATCACAAAGATATTCCTTTCAGTAAGCAAACAAACAAACCAACCAAAAACTAAAAGTTAAACAGTTCCATCTGCTTAGTTAATCTGAAGGCAGATGGAAAGAGGTGAACTGTACACATAAGTAATTCACAGGATGCAAATTCCAAGTAAGAAAGGACTCTTCCATCTAGCAGGAGAACCATGGGCTGGAAACTTAAGCCAGGCAGATTGAAAGTAAGGTGCCTTTTTAACAATAAAGATGCTTATCTGCTGGAAAAAGCTTTCCAAGGATATCCCAGATACATTTTATGATCTCTTAAGGCCACGAGGAAGACATGCTTTAACTAAAACTAGAGGTTTTTGTTTAACATAAGAATGACTGGAGATAGTGTGAAGATATATAAGCAGACAAACTGATCATATTTTGAGTATAAATGTATGCAAATTTACCAAAGCCAACATTTCCTCATCTGCCTGTGGTATGCCTCATTAAGAAAATTGCTTATTAAGAACCATCTTCTAAGGAGGTGGATTATCATTGTTTAATCTTACCTTAAGGGATATTATGAAAGAAAAACTCTATCAAACATTATAAAGTAAATTCTACAGTACAACTTGTCTTGCAGCGCTAGAAGTTGCTGGAGAGAACAGCCCTTATTTGTTAGATACAAACCTGAAGTAAAATGCAGTGAAGGAACAGAACTCATTTTAGTAAGTATTAACAGACTAATCATGAAAATACTGTCACTGCGTATGCTTTGAACCACGTGTGTGCCTTAGTGTTATTTTTGAAATAATTAGAACCACAGTATATCTTCTGATACTTTCAGCTTCTATCAAATAATAATAACTAATAACTTTAGCATCCTTCCCCTGCTTCTCCCATTTTGCAGCATATTATATCTTCCAGAAACTTGCTGAGCCAGATACATTATCAAAAACAGAGAGTAAATCCATTCAAAACAATGTGACTAAAAGCAGAATCTGTCTGTTTGCTTTTGCATGTTTTGAACAAAAGGTTCCATTTCTGCTTTTACAGCTAAATAGCATTTTGTAATGAGCTCTGAAATTTTTGGGAAAGTCAGATTACAATGTTGGTTTAACATCAGACACTCTATTGTTCAGATGTAGGATCACTGCGATATCCAGCCTCTGAAAACTAGTTTTTCTTTTGATATTGAAAAGACCACTGAAGTAATCTACAAAGAGCTCGGGCCTCAGGAAAGAAGTCTGAAAAACAAACACTGTTAAAGATTGGTCAGACACGATTATGTGGCTGACAATTACATATGATAACAATTAAAATTATCTGATTCCAACCACATGGCATCTTAATACAGCAGATCTCCAGGCAAATAACTTGTCATATAATAGGTTTTGATTGATGCCGCCAGCAGCCTTCTGAATGCTACAAATACTTTCCCATCAATGTCTCAGAAATCAGTGGAGAGTACTGACTTCGTCCTAAACTGAAATTATTTCCATGTACCTAAATACCCTTGTTCTAACTGCTCAGTAACCTAAAATTCTTGTTTTAGTAGATGATAAAACACATGAGTACATGGTGTCCAGCTTCTTACTTCCAATTGTAAATAACTTTGCTAATATATACATTAGTGGTTTCAATGAAAATCCTACATGTTTTCTGAGACATCTTTCAGTTACCTGCCAGTACATCTCTGGGAAAATATGTCTGATTACAAGCCAGCTGAAGAACTCCAAACAATGGCTGAAGTTCCATGTGTTGACTGGCATAGGGGACATAACCAGAGAGCATAAGGAGCTGCCAAGGAGCTGCCACTGAGCAGCATGAGCCTACTCTACTGCCGACTTTAATTTGTGTTAAAAAAAATAGGGATGAGTTAATGATTGCTAAACCAACAAATCATCCTCCCATTGGAGGAACCCCTGAGGACATTCTGTCTCCAGTGGTGATATAACCAGTAAGCAAACACATTGTCACATTGCCTAGAATGGGCATACAAAAGCAGAGGGGATCGGACCAGGAATTTGGAGTATTCTCATGGTGCCAGTCTCCACACATGTTCTTGGCTTAGCCTCCTGCTCCTTATTTTCCTCTAGACCAGCATGAGGACACAGCCCAAAAACTACTCTCCAGATCTGTGATGCAAGTTTTATTGTTTCCTTCTGTGTACTGTTACGTAGGAAGAGAAACATAATGCCTTAAAAATGAATTGAGGAATAATACCATACATTTGTTAGAAGGACAGTTTTTGCTACCATTGTTGGTTTAAAAAAACAACTTTTTCTGCTTTGGCATCTAAATCAGGGTTGCAACACTGCAGCTGGAAAAACAGCTGTCTCTTCTAACTGTGGCTGCTATGAACACAGCTCTCCACTGTAGACTGCGGAGTCAATAGCACATTGAGAAAGAAGGTTTAGTTAAGACACTGCATCAGTTTTGGCGGTGTTGTTGAAGGTGAGCAAAAATCTTACGTGTTATTCACATCAGTCTCACAGGTCTGACAGAGCATGTTATCCAGCCATAATGCTAGATCTTGCCTGTGTTATAAATATATGGGAGGGTTAAACAATGCCTTGTAATTTTCCTGATTTTTTATAAAAGATCACACTAAAAATATGAAAAATACGAAGCAATAAAACTCCTGAACAGACAATGCAACTCAGCAGTTATTCTTGACACCTCAGCCATAAATGTGTTTCTGTCCCTAGTTAACAGTTCTACAATGTATGCCACAACTTTATCTAAATGGCCTTTCCTTTGACTGCATGATGGATGCCATCTTACTGTGAAGGGCATATATTAATTTTTAAATAGTAATAAGAGAGGAATTATGTAGCAGAATTATCCATGTTAAATTAGACTCACATATTACTTCTCTGCAAGAATTATTACATTTATTGTAATTATGCACCAAAAGTGTTAGCATCACAGTTCTCCAGAAGAACATTGAGGCATCAGCTCATTCCAGTACACCACACAGGATGAA